GAAACCGGTGCAAGGCTGACGGACTAAATTCCAATAGTGTATWGCTGTCTCGCTCGAGTACGCGACAAGGTGTAGTCGCAGAATAAATAAATCGGAATGGATACTGATCATAATAATATATTTATTATACCGTAATTATACGAGAAATGTGGAGAAATCTGAAAAATTGATTGGCCATATTTTTCGGAGATAATCAGCCTATACATTTACACTAATAAATATATATATATATATTATATATATATATATATAATATAACAATATTTTATGTTCCGCCAAAAAATATGGCAACTTGAATGAATTGATGACACTTAGAGAGYCCAGAACCTGGTCTAATGCAGTGGTATCAAACTAAAATCACCATATTATTTTTATACATCAAAGGTTCGCGTCCAAAAGCTTCTTTTTTWTTTCTTYTAAATTATTATTTATTTTTTATCTCATAACTGCACCAATGCCTATAAATCACCTAATGCGATCAATTTTAACGCATTGCAATGACTACTAATGATAAAAACTGTCTTATCGGTAATAATTAWTAAGGATCACTAAGGAGGGACGTAAAAATAAAACGTTACGGATGTCAAATAATATTTTATAATCATAATAATAATATAAAAACAACTTTATCGTGCAATAATAATWATGAAKATTAAAAATGTTTGAATTATTATGTGGTCCACATCGAAAGGGTTCGCAGGTCACGCGATYGAGAAAATTATAGTCTAGTGATATATACATAATTTATAGACCCAAATTTTCGTTKCAATGATTGTCGTTTTCGAAAAACTTAAACGGAAACCGCACTCCATATCGACTGTGGTCAGTTTAGGCGTTGTACAGTTTGTTTATTCCAATCATCGAGAWTGTATTTAATATACKTAATATACGCTAACGGACTTTTCTTTTTGTTACATGTATATGAAAAAAATAATTGCCTACGAAACGATTAAAAACAATCGCTATGAATTCAGAACCGTTTCGTCGGTCAYTAAATTATAAATTAATATAAATATGAACCAATATTAATACGCACTGTAAATCCATATATTGACATAGTTACCTCAAGTCCATTTCGTCTACAATCAGACTTATGGGTGGTCCCCCCACTCCACACGGTGCATATTATCATACAGAATCTTACAAATCAATGGAATGTGAAACAGTCCTATCGTYACCAACTTCACTTTTTTACATTCCCTTTTCCACTATCATATATAAGCAAATCGTACAATTCGCACGCATGTCACAAATCAATATTTAAAATTAGTGTCATGTGCAAAAAATAAAAWTTTTTTTATAAAAATATTTAAATTCTTTGGTTTTTAAACTAAATTTTGTTTTAATATTATATGCATAAAATAKAATTAATTCTACCACGGTACATTAGTATAGKTTTAARACGTATTAACCCGTAGTACGTGCATGTTTTTAATTCCGGCTAAATTGTAGAAATTCGTATWGGGCCATCGTACACCTATTTTATACGACTGCAGTACTACGTTAGTAAAACCCAAATGACAATGGCAATGGAGACAAAAGTGCATAGGTACACTTACGTGGTGTGATATTAGTTGGTGACATCCTCGAATACACGACATGTGTACATATTTTGCCGGCGGCCGTTCAAGGTCTGACCGTCGTCACATCACGCTAAACAATGATCGCCACTCGCGAAGATTTATTATAATATTATAAATTATTATAATAATATAATATGTCGACTGCGCAGTAGTTGGACGCGGTCATTAATAAAATATAATATTTCTTATACATATTTATGCATGTATTTCCTATACGCCCGTCGAACGCGATAGGTACGCTTAGTTTCAACAACAACAGTAGGTATAATAATAACAATAATAATTTGTATTATTATTATTAATTAACAATATGTATGCATAGACGTCGGCGCCGGACACCCACAGCTGCAATAACATTCTGTCGCCAACTCCGAAGGTAAGTTTATTATAAATTATAATATTATATACGTACCTATAACCATACGGGGACSGCTGAATCACGACGGTGGTCTTGGAAAACATTTTTGCTCACACTCTGAAAGAGCCGACCATCGCACGACGATGTTTGATTCTATATATTATTATTATTATTAAATACTTGAATATAGGTACCATGTTGTTTGTCAAATGCGTGTAAATAACAACACCGATGGTTAACGCTGATTTTTTGTATCTTTTTTTCTTTTTAAAATACTAATATAACAAATCGGGTTAATATATTTAGGACAAATAGTAAATAATATATAATAATAATATGTATATAGCAAATTTTGAAATAGAATTCAATTTACACGTAATTATAATAATAATAATAATAATAATA